ACAAAGTGATTGATTCATAGCTGTCAGTTTGTTTTGTTTTTGTTTTGTTTTTACCTTTTTGACATCCGTAACGGCTATCGGCAATAAATCCGGGCGGGCAAAATTTACATATCGGTTTGTGATCCTCGACAATGCAAGGTGAATTCGGCGCACACTGAGCAAATTCGCACGGATCGACACATTGATAATTACGACAAGCCAAACCAGTCGGGCAGCCGGCATCTCTTAAACAAATTGATACCGAAGGTTGACAATCTTTCATGCATATGCAAAGTGGTCTATGATTTTGTACTTCGCATGATTTATTGGCTGAGCAAATAGGCGTTCGTCCAACAGGTACTATACATGGATTACGGCATTTCCCTTCAGAGCAGGCCATATTCGAAGCACAATCATCATCACGATAACATTCGCGCTTTTCGGGAGCGCAAGTCAATTCTCCATATTCGTTCACTATAAAACCAGTTTTACAGACACATAACGGTTGATGTCGTCGGGTTTCACACTTTTTATGACCCCGACATATGAATTGGGGATTTTGACATGGATCTACACATTGCCCGTACTCGCCACACTGTAGGCTATCTGGACAATCATTATCGCTGGCGCATAATATCTGTTCCTGAGGATCCCGTGGTTGGCTGGTTGATTCATCTGTGCACTTTGGATCCGGTTTGCATTCAACTTGTGGACGGCCGATAAAGCAACTTGGACATGAACAACGTGGTCTATGCAGTACGGTTTTGCAAAGTGCGTTGGCGCCGCAAGCACCTCGTAAAGTACAAGGATCAATACAGTGTCCCTGCTCGCAAGACTTCTCACTGGGGCAATCCGTGTCGACTTTACATTGTTCGGTGTCTATAATAATTATATGAGGTGTTGTATAAAGGAGAAAGTGAGAGAAAGGTTGTTGGGTGTTGTTGTTGTTTTTTTGTTGCTGTTGATTGTTGCTAATAAGCATAAACTGTCTTCTCGTTATAATTCTCAAACAGTTAATGCTTTCAAGAAACAGTAAAAGAGCAGAAAAAGACTACAAAGCGTCTTCTGGCCTCAAGGAAGGGGACATATGTAAACAAAAAGTGGTGTCAAGCAATAAAGTTGAGAGTTTGGTGTTGTGTGTTTCAGTTGAATAAAACTAATTTGGTTGTTTTTTTTTTTAATACTAGCGTTACGTTAATTGGGTTAAGATAGGAACTTTTTGGCTTTTGGGGAATTTTGTGGTTTAGAAAAATCTTTTTGTAATTTTAATTTAAAGTTTAGTGCTTAAAGTGTTTTGGTATATTTTGGTATAGTTTTGGTATAGTTTTTTCATATTAATTTGCTTTTTAATTAAAAGAACAGTAATTTTGAGTATTTATTAGAGTTGACGATAAAGTTAAAAACCATACTAATAGTTAAAAAAAAATAAAAAAATAAACAAAAAAGTAATAATAATTACATATTTTCAGAACTGTGAAGGGGAGTCATCTCACATTTGGTTTATATTTGCATTTCTTTAGTTAATTATTTTTAATTACGCTAAATTCACAATCTAACGATAAGTAACCCAATTTGTTTTTTTTTTATTAAATCATTAATATATAAGAAAAAGAAATTTCTGGGAAAATCGCGACATCCAACACATGCGCTCTGCCCTTACGCGAGACACGTTATTGGAAAATTTTTGATTTGTACTTTAAGAAAAACTGAATTTTGTTTTTTGCTAGGTTTTCATTTTTAAGTTAAGTGAAGTTAGAGGAGCTAAGAAGAGATAGTGGGAGAGAAATATAATTTTTTATAAAAAGAGAGAAGAGAGAAGAGAGAGAGAGAGAGAGTATTAAAAAGAAAAAAATTTTCCTCCTCTTGTTTTTTGGTTGTATGCTATTTCTTGTTGTTCTATATACAGTGCTCTTAAAAGAGACATTAATTAGTAAAACCATATTTCGATAAGGGGATAAAAAAAGAAAGAAGGAGAGAGAGACAGAGAGTGAAAGGAGGAAGGAAGAGCTCAGAGTGAAAGCAAGGCAACGGAAGACGACGAAAAGGGATAGCTATAAAGAAAGGGACAAAGACAAATTCGTATTATACACATTAACAAAACATATTTACAACTTAAACTAGAAGAGAAAAAATATCAAATAAAATTTTCAACAAAATACCGAATTGTTTTGGTTGTTGTGCTTTAATCAAGGGTTAGTAATATAAAATCTTTAGTTACATATGTTCTTCTTTTTTTAAAAATAATTTATACAGTGCCCAAGCTTAAACTGTATATACATATGAAAAAATAAAATTTCTCTCTTGAAATAACGGTTTTAATAAAATAATCGTAACTTGCTTGTTACACAAAATAAAACAAATATTAAGACGTGCGGTTATATATGTGCGCAGATTGTATCTTTTAATGTATACATTTAATAGATAAGAATTTATTTTCTCGCACTATTTGCATATGTGAACTATGTGTGAGAATGGTCCCGTCCACAGTTCCCAATCTGAGACTTCTACAGGTTTCTGTTAAAAGCTTTAATTCTTGCATTTTCTCTAAGAAATCTCAAAATCGTTTTCTTAATTTAAAAAGAAAAATTTGAATAAGAAGCAAAAAAAAAAAAAAATATATATATATATATGTATATATATATATATATATATATATGTAGGATTTATGTTAAGGGAGTGTAGGAGCTGATCAAAGGAACATTTTTGGAATTTTTCAATATTCACTATTCATTTGTGACCAATTTTTGTATAATTTTTTTATTATTCAATATTCGTATCGCTATCGCGGCGTTTTGTAAGTAGTTATCGCGTTTTGTTTTCGTTTCTTTTTTTTCATTGAAGGTCACTCTACTTGATTATTGAGAAATAATTGACTAAAAGATTTTTGCGATTAGGTTGTGTGCGTGTTAGTTTTATTAAAATTCATTGTAATTTTACTTTCTATTATTAGTTTGGATCTGTGTTCATTTTAAAATAGGTTTATGGTGTGTCAAATTCTAAAGAACGTCCTACATTTAAGAAGTGCTTCTTGATTAGAATTAGGTCTACTGACGTCTACTGTCATCCTCTGATCTGAACCCATCCGAAACCATCGGAAGAAGTAACTTGTTTGAACACTATAAGAAAGCTGTTTAGAGCGAATATATGTTGCTGAATTCTCAAGATCGAAAAAAAGCGAGATTGTCGCGTGACTTACCATTCCACAGGCCTCTGCAGAAAGCTTTAATATTCAATGGAAATGAGCCACTCACTTATCTTTCCTCATTTTTTCACAAGGGGCAAAGACTCCTGACTGCAAAACCTTTCTTATTGAGTTATAAAAATTCTAGGATATTATTTAAAGAATGAGAGGGAGGGACACCCTGTACTGAGATAAAGATAATAACAATTGCATGGGAAAGATTGGAAAGGATGAAAGTATCCTCTCCCTCTCCACAAGTTCAAAAAAAAAGTAAAAAAATAAGTTTCACGTTGTGATACAATTTTCCCGTTAATGTAAAGACTGTATTACATTAAAAATACGTTATTACTATATCAGAGAGGAGTGGAGGTTGAAAGATTAAAGATTATTCAGAAAAATTTATGTTCTTTAAAGGTTAGTCTACAAAAAGTGATCATGGTTCTTTTTTGGTGGAACAATACGGTTCTTTTTTGGTAGAGTCAAAAAATACATATAGCTTATAGTCACGACAACTATGGTAACTATTACGATAGGCTGCTTCGAAAATTAGTAAGTAAACAGCGATCCCTTACTATATTTGCGAGGACAGCTTTGCAAAATGAGAATTCTATACTCTCTTTACAAATACATCTTAGAGAGACGCGAAGACACGAATTTCAATTCAATTATTTGCATCCATGATAAGAAGAGCTGCTTAATGTTTGAGATTAAGAATTTAGGTAATTTTTCGCCGCTTTGCTATATTTTTCGGATTAAGGTGACCGAAGCGCAGATTTTATTGCCTTAGCACTTCAATTTCGTTTTATTAACATTTTCGAAGATGATTGCAATCTTATTAGATGTAAACGATAAACATTTTGCATTAAAAAACAGATTAATTTCAAAGTTCTTCTTGCATCCTGGAGACGTTCGCTTAATATGCATGAATAAGCAGTATTGAAATGTGGGTGTGGTTATTAAAATGTAGTGGTATGAGAAATGGAGAGAGGTTGGCTAAAATTATTTAGTTGTACTTTAAGGAGTGTGAATAAAGGGAGGGAAATTTGTGACAGTGTATTTTAATTTCTTTGTTAATGTGTGGATGTTATTGTTTTTTCTTTTTTTTTATGTTTTACATATGTGAAAATAAAAAATCTTGTAAATTTTGCGTTAATTATTGATGAATTAATATTTAAAAACTTAAAGGTAATTCAGGCACAGATTGGGAGACCGCGATAGCGACAGCGACATTCCACGAAAACCTCCATATGCGTATGAATAAAAATAATAAAAATTTATTTTCCTTCGGTTATGTACCAAAATCTAAGTAGAAAATTTTTTAAAAGTAAATTTTAAAAATTTATGTATAATATTTTATATAGAAATTCATTTGCGTGAGTACCAGTGTATTGCATTAAAACGTTTTTCATTTTTATGTGTGTTTCTTGATATCTAGCTCTTCTCTTCGTTATTAAAAAATAAAAAATTATTCGAACAATTAAAGTAACAGCAAACTTCAATGTTTTAAAATCCACAAAAGAAACAAACAAAACTGGATTTAGTAAATAAACACACTACTGTGTAGAAAAATTTGTTGGTTAAAAAAGTCTAAAAATATCTAAAGAAAAAAAGTAATTATTATTAATCAATTTTTATTAAACGACACATTTTAAAATTTGAAACCAAAGTGTTAAACTAAGCAATTTTTTCAACGGTTACTCACACAATTTTATTAAGAAAATATATATTCATATAAATTTCATTAAAAAATCTAAAGATTTGAATCTGAATATTTCTTGCTGAATAAACTTTGAGATGTTATGAAGTATCCATAGATAAAGCAACGAATTTATGTACTTACCTTGTTTGCATACATAATCATAACCTTCACGTACGCATTCACCCAATTGGCAACCTTCAGTACGACAATCTATTGGTGGTTGGGTTAGGAAACCTAAAATTTCAGAATTTGTAGTGACTTTTCACATGGTTTCTATTTAAAATCTTACAGTGGACATAAGGATCCCCGTTTGGATATTCATCGGGACAATAACATTGAGCTTCGTTGTGTTGCAAAACACGGCAGGCAGCATTTAGTCCACATGGCTGATCATGACAGGCATTTACTAAATGATCTTCACAAACACAACCTTTTTGAGCATCTCCTATGCAACCTTCCATGCACGAGCATTCGTAACTTCCAGGTACTTCCGAACATCTTGAGTTAATTCCACATGGGTTGCTGGCACAACCGCCTTTTAAAGGTTGACATTCTGTGAGTGGATTGCCAAAAAAGTCAGGTGGACATGAACATTGTGGTTTATGATTCATGACGCGACACTGAGCATTTGATCCACATGCTCCGTACTCTAGGCAAGGGTTACGACATTTGCCTTTATCACACTTTTTATTGCTTTCGCAGTCATTGTCATGCTGACATTCGAATTGTACGCATTCTTTTGTCGGCTCGCCATCATATCCATCAGGACAATAGCAAAGCATACGATGATCGGTTACTGTGCACAAGGCATTGCTTCCGCAAACCTGTTTGTCTGTACATGGGTCTGAACATTGGCCTTTAGTGCAAGTCTGATCCATAGCACAATCGTTATTAGTCTTACAGCCAGCTACACATGCTCCTCTCTCACAAAGTTGTCCCAGTGGACAAGAACGATTGGCTCCGCACTTTGCACGGCATTTGCCGCGTGTACACACTTGACTGCAAGCGCAATCCGTTGTTCGAGAGCAAGCTTGAGCGCAATAGGTTCCAGTTTCATCACATTCGCATGACGGATTGCAACGTTGAGCCGGCAATTGACAACCGGTAAGTCCGTCACCCACGAAACCGTTGGGACAACTACATTGGACGCCATGGTTAACGACCAAACAGCTGGCACATTGTCCACATTGACCGAGTGAATCACAAGGATTTTTACACACTTTGTTTATGCAGGTTTGATCAGGTGCGCAATTTAAATCGTTACGACAACCAATCTGGCAAATGCGATTTTCGCATATTTGTCCTTGCGGGCAAACAGAATCAACATTGCATACAGTACGGCAAATACCACGCATACAACGCTCATCGTTCAAGCAGTTTTGATCATTGCGACATTTCTTTTGACAAGTGCCACCATAACAAAGTTGAGTTGAGGTACAATCCGCATTTGAAGAACATGTAGTGATTAAAGATTTACAAGATACTTCGGCATCTCCTAGCAGACCGATGGGACAAGAACATATTTTCGTATGATTAATGACTTCACAAACAGCGTTTGTTCCGCATGCTCTTGCATCCGCGCAAGAATCAATACATTGCTGATCAAAACAGGATAAATGTGTTTGGCAACCTTGATCAGATCGACAGCCGGGAACACAAGAAAGACCCAGACAGACTTCATTGTTACGACAATCGTCATCTCGCCGGCATAATGGTTTACATGCTCCATTCTGACATCGTTCATTAGACAAACAGCCGGTGTCTTCGGCGCACAAGGGACGACAGACTGATTCAAAGCAAGCTAAGCCATAGGGGCAATCACGATTTTCATTACATTCTTGCGGTGGAGAACGGACACATCCCACCTGAGGTGTGGGATTAGGAACCATTCCTTCTAAACAATTACAAGTAGCCCGATGGTTGGTAACCGAACAAGCAGCATTTGGCCCACAGGGGTTTTCCGAGCATGGGTTGACACATTTGTCATTCCGACACGATTCCGAAGCACTGCAATCGTCATCGCTGTGACATCCAAACACACATTTGTTGTGCAAACACACATGACCCAAAAAGCAGTCGTTGTCCACGCGGCATGTTACTAAAATTTTATAGGAACATATTCCTTAGATTTTATTTAACGCATTTCAAATATTAATACTTACACATGCAATTTCCATTTAAACATTTTTCGTTTAGAGCACAATCCTGGTCGCCAGAACATTGAGGGAAACACATTGACTCATAGCAGCTGTAACCAGCCCCACACTCTAAATCGTTATGACAAGACATTGGTATGCGGACGCACTCCACTTCAGGATTCCCCGTAAAACCAGCCGGACAAGAGCATTGTTTAAAATGTCGTTCGATTGAGCATAAAGCATTCATACCACACGATTGAGGTTGCAAGCACGGATTAATACATTGTCCGCCTTGACACACCTCTTGGCCTGAACACTCAGTATCTAATATACAAGCAGCTAGAAAATAGAATGTCTTATATTTACTATATATTTATACAAGTGCCAACAGCGGTTGCCACCATATGCCTGCTTTGAGTCTTGAAATATGTCACTTGGTGGTTAGTATTCAAGTCTTGCATTCTCCTTTATGTGAATGTGTAAGCTGTGAACCCAGTGAAGTTCACAGTAACCTGTTGTTGTTGTTTTTGAAGTAAAGCTTTTTAAAAATTTGGCACGTCATAGCTTTGTTTTACGTTAGGCTAAATTACAACTGTTATTGCATTACGCAATTTTATTCACATGTCTATAGAAACCCTTAACCTGTTTTTTGGTGTTAGTACTTACGTTTGCAAATGCTGTCTGAGCAGTATGCATTTGTTGGACAATCGCTTGTAACAAGGCAAGGCATTGGTAATGGTTTGCAACCATTTAGCCGGTCAGTGGGGTTGCCATCGTAACCGGTACGGCAAGCACAATGAGCTCTGTGGCCTTTCGGAATGCATTCCGCATTAGGACCGCAGTTAATGCTAGCACATACGTCATGACATTTCGGCACACCTTTCGTTTTCGTACATTCAGCATGCGGAGGACAGTCTTCATTGTTCTCACATTCTGCAGATGTGCGACAACCTTCGTTGTAAGGATCGCCCACCAGACCAGGTGGACATGTACATTTGAAAGATCCTCTAGAATTGCGGCACCTAGCCCCTGGACCGCAGGGAGCGTCTTTGCAAAAATCAATAATATCACAGCGTTCTCGGGGATTTCCAGTGTAACCAGGCTGACAATGACATACTTGTTTATGGTTTTCAGTGGTACATAAAGCGTTGTCACCACAAGGTTCTCCAATGAGGCAGGCGATTTTGCACATGTGATTGTCGCAAACTTTGTCATTTGAACAGTCATTATCTATATTACATTCTACCTTGCGGCAGCCACTATTAGGATCGCCAAAGAAACCTACTTTACATTCGCAATCGGCAGAGTGACTGCGGGCAATACATTCGGCATTGCGCCCGCATACGGCTCTACCAAGACAGACGTTTTCGCAACTAGATCGACCGAAATTGTCCACAAAACAACTTTCATTGGGAGCACAATCAGTGTCTTCCCGGCACAAAACTTCTTTAGTGCATATATTATTAGAACAAAACTGAAACTCTGGGCAGGTGGCGTTCGTCTTACAAGTGGCTTGACATACACCTTGTATACAAAGCTGATCGGCGATGCAGTCTCGATTAGATGAACATAAAGAACAACAGATACCGTTTGAGCAAATACTACCAGAAGCACATTGGACGTCAGAAATGCAATATTGTAAAGAAACACAACCAAGTTGTGGATTGCCGGTAGTGCCTTTCTCACAAGAACATATGGCGATATGATTTTGGACAGCGCATTGAGCTTGTGAGCCACAAGCATTGGACAATGAGCAAGGGTCAACGCATTTCGTATCTAGGCAAGCCTTCTCACTATGGCAGTCGTCATTGTCGGTACATTCTATATCAACACACTCCATTGAAGGATTGCCACGTGAATTAGGTGGGCAAGTACAGACAGCATTGTGTGATTGAACGACACAATTAGCGTTAATACCACAGACATTTTCTTTTTCGCATGGACTACGACATCTAGAGTTCTGACAGCTAGCAGTGTTAGGACAATCCGTATCGGTTAAACACTCATTGGGATCCCGGCAACCATTTTTAACGGGATCTCCAATAAGGCCTTCTGGGCATTGGCAATTGAAAGTCCCCTGCAAATTTTGGCAAAAGGCGCTGCTATGGCATGGTCTTGCAAGACATTCATCGACATCTTCGCAGACAGCGTTTACCCATTGATATCCTTCAAAGCATGCACACACAGCCTTGTGATCAACAACGTTGCACGATCCTTTGCCACAAGTAATTAAATCGCACGGTCTGACGCAGCGGTTAGTCTGTTCATCGCAAGACTTATCGCTGGCACAGTCATCATTAGTAATACATTCTACTTTAAAACACCCGACCGAGGAATCAAAGGGATCTCCCAAATAACCGGAGGGGCATTCGCAGAAAGCCTGATGGTTTTCAGATTTCAGACATAAGGCATTAGGCCCACAAGCAATTTCTGAGCAAGGGTTTGAACATTTATCATTGATGCACGCTAGTGTTTGTAAACAATCATCATGCTTGTAGCACTCCTTAGGCGCTCCGCACCCTTTTGTAAAAGCATCTCCAACAGTATCCTCTGGACATACACATCGATACGATCCGGGCAAATTTTCACATCGGGCAGTTATATGGCAGGGATTTTCAGAACATTCATCAATATCTGAACATCCGAAGGGCGTACCAATGAACCCGGTGGCACATTTACATTTTCCTGCTAAGCACAATTCCGTTGGGGGGCAATCTGCGTCTGAGTCGCAGCCAGGCTGACAGATGCCGTCGTTGTTGCATATTTCCCCAGGTAAGCAGTTATTACTGGTATAACAAACTTTGCGACATACTTGCTGGTAACAACGCTCTCCTATGGCGCAAGAAGTTGTTTTTTGACATGGTAAATTGCATTGATTTCCTATGCACATGTGACTGCTGGGACATTGATTAGAGGCAAGACATGGAGACGGAACTCTGACACAACCTTGATCAGGTGTAGGGTTTCCTTCGAAACCTTCGGGACAGGAGCAATGGCTTCGATGATTTTCAATACTACAAATAGCATTGGGGCCACATATATTTGATTGGCACGGATTCGAGCATTTGTTGTTGATACAAGATTGATCCGTAAGGCAATCTCTATTACTACGACAGCCAATGGAACACATGCCCTTCAGGCAAGCTAAATTTGGGCCGCACTGGCTATGGTCTAGGCAAGGCATCGCACACACGTTTTGTAAACATTTTTCGCCATTGGAACAGTCACTTGTTTCACGACAAATAACCCGACATTCCTCATTGAAACAAACTTCGCCACCGCAATCAATATCTGTCTTACATTGGGAGAGAGATCGTGAGCAGCCATTTTTGGCTGATTCGCCGATGGGTTCGAACCTGAAGGGGCAACTACACACCGGCTTACGGCTGACTACTTTGCATTCAGAGTTTTCTCCGCAAGCATTTTCACAAGGATTCACGCAACGACCTCCAGTACAAATTGTATTTGTAGGACAATCAGCATCTCCACTTGGACACTGACCTTCAGGTCGGCAGCCAAGTTTGTAAGCATCACCCATAAAATGATCAGGGCATTTACAAGTTGGACCATCTGAGGTAATCTCGCAGATGGCTGTGTGGTGGCAAGTGGTAGGAGTGCAGCCTCCAACTTTAGTGCATTCGACTTCAGGAATAGGATTTGCTTTGAAACCTGGTGGACATTGGCATATCGCGCGGTGGTCTTCAGCTAGACAAACGGCGTTATCGCCGCAAGATTCTTGATCGCAGACATCGAAACATGTATGTGTCATCCGATTGCACAGCTGTGTGGAAGGGCAATCTTTATTATACACACAAGGAACACTTTGACATCCATTGAAAGGATCATAAGGATCGCCAGCAAAAGGACCTGGGGGGCATTGACATTGTGCTTGATGATTATTAGTGATGCAAACTGCACGCGGGCCACATTTGATCATTTCACAAGCAGGACGACATGTGAGAGTGTCTTCCGAACCGTATTTAACGCAGGATTCCGATTCCGAACATTCGGCGTTGACATGACATTGATGTTTTTGAATTGGTTGACAACCGTTACGGTCGTTTGGATTTCCTGTAAAGCCAAGTAGGCAATCACAGCGTCCCTTATGATTCTGGGCTATGCAAACAGAATTCGTCGGGCAAGTATACTCGTCGCAAATGGAAACGCATTTCAGAACTCCTACTACATCAGGCCGGCAGGCTGAATTGCTGGGGCATTCCTGGTCATTAGTACAATCAGGAAGTGTCGGTTTTTCACAGGTGGATACTACAGGGTTCCATACGTAACTGTCCACGCAGTTGCAAACTGCGTTACCAGAGCTGTCAACGTTGCATTCTTCATTTGTGCTACATAGAACTTTGGAGCACAAATGAATACATTCTCGCGGTCCTTCGGTAATGGTTGTGCAAGAGTATCCTGATTCACAATCATTATTGGAGTTGCACTTATCTTCCTGTTTAAAGATTTTTTGTTCTGGTTGGCAGCCAGTTTGCAGATTACTGGGGTTACCATAGAATCCATCAGCGCAAATGCAGGATGAGCGATGATCATTAGTAACACATAACGCATTTGGTCCACATTGAATCTTAGAGCAGCCATCCACGCATTTACGCAGTCCCCTACTGATTTGGAAACAAATATCAGAATAGTTACAATCTGCATCGTTGCTGCACTGCCCTCGTATCAAGCAGCCGCTTTCCAAATCATACGCGTCACCCACATAACCTAGAGGACACAAACATTTACCAGCATCGCATACTGCTCTCGGACCACATGTAGTTTTTGAGCACAAATTTTTGCACTTTCCTTGTTCACAAGAGTAACCCTCCGGACATTGGACACGGTCGTTACACTCGCAAGTTTGAGGATCAGCACAAAATACACTGTCAACAGGTTGACAACTGGTGAATGGATCTCCACCATATCCCGATAAACAAAGACATTCAAAACTTCCATGTGTATTTAGGCAAGCGGCATTGAGGCCGCACGGTTTATTGGCGCATTCATCAATATCGTGACAATTTATATAACCGTTGCCAGCAAAGCCTGGCGGGCATATACAACTGATGCCGCTAGCATGAGCTCTGCATTCCGCATTAGCGCTGCAACTATTCGGTTCGCAGATATTTTTGCTTTGTGCACCGCAGCTTTCGTACGGATTTCCAGTAGTGCCAGTATTGCAAACGCAAATAGCGCTGTCGAAGCTATATTCACAGTGAGCATTTTGGCCACAAACAGGGTTACATTCAGCATATTTAATCGGTGGCATACAAATAAGATCGGGGTTGCCGACAAAGTTTGGTTCGCAAATGCATTTGCCAGTACTTTTATCGCAGGTAGCTCCAATACCACAAACAACCCCATCGCAACGTTCCTTACAACGGCCGTTAATACAAATTTGCTTTTGACTACAGGGGCGAGAGGCACTGCACTGATCTGTTGAGCAAGAACCACCGGGAAAAGGATTGCCAAGATAACCTTGAGGACATTTGCAGGTAGGACCTTCAGAAGTTGGTATGCACAGAGCGCCTTCACCACATATAATGTTTTTACACTGAGAAACACATTCTCCATTCGAATCTTTAGTGAACCCAACGCGGCAACGACACCAACCGGCGTGATTATCAGTTTCGCAGAAAGCGTTCGAGCCACATAATAAACTGGCACAAGGGCTGATGCATGTACTATCAACGCAAGCCAAATTGCTGGCGCAATCATCATGTTCCACGCAAGCGCTTTTAGACTCACCGGATTCTAAAATACAACCGCTTTTATAGGGATCTCCAGTAAATCCTTTAGGACAAACACACTGATAACCGCCTTTTTTATTGACGCAATAGGCTCCATAAGCACAAGGCAAATGAGCGCATTCATCTTCGTCGGTACAACCTAATAAGGGATCTCCTTTAAAACCGACCTCACACATACATTGTGGGGGATCAGTTGGGGTACACTTAGCGTTAATCCCACATGGGAAACGCTCGCAGGGACTTTTGCATTTATTATTATCGTAAGGATCTAAGAAATAAGGGGGAGGACATACACATTCTCCGGGCTGAACACATTTTTCGTTTGTTGCACATTCTCTGTCGGCAGCACATTTACGTTGTGCTGGAGTACATAAGCCGTTATAAGCATCACCGTTATAGCCGCCAGGACAGACGCACGAAAACCCGCCCTCCTTATTTATGCATTCAGCTCCATAGGCACAAGTTTTAGTGCCCGTCTCTGAACATTCGTCCACGTCTGCGCACGAACCATCTAGTAAAGTTTTGTACCCTTTCGGACAAGCGCAGTAGCTGACTCCACCAGCAATTGATATACATTCAGCCCCAGAAGGACAACGATTTCCATCAGAACAACCGGATAAAATACAGCTGGTTCCTACCAGTTTAAAAGGGGGTTGACATTGACATTCTGGCGAATTACACTGCTCGCATAAAATAAATGGGTTACCGTTAAAACCCGACGGACAACGACATTCATAACTGCCGGGGAGATTTTTGCACAATGCATTCATGCCGCATGCAGGTTTGACACGATTTGCCGTACATTCATCCATGTCCTGGCAGAAGCCAGTCCCGGCATTTCTTTCGTAACCCTGACGGCAAATGCAAACACTTGTTCCAGTGTAAGTATCTTGAACACAACTTTCTCCAGGAGCACATGGATTAGAAGCAGAGCAACTAGGTCCAGTTTTGCTAACGTCACAACCTTCCCGATACGGATCTCCATTTGAGCCTCCAGGACACTGACATAAATAACCGCCAGGAGTATTGGTACAAATAGCGTTGCTACCGCATGGATTTGCTTTGCATTCGTCGATGTCATTGCATCCTCCTGGCAAATCGGGACTGCCAGTAAAGCCTTCTGAGCATATGCATTGTGCTTGACCATTAGCTAGCATACATTGAGCGTGCGACCCACAACTACGATTCTCACAGGGATGGCGGCAATCGTTACCGATATTAGGTTCGGGGCAAAGACAACGTTTGCCATTTTCACATATAGCATTTCCAGGACATTCTTTATCCACTTGACAGGTAACAATTGCTACACATCGTACAGTGGGATCTGGATCGGGAATAGAATTGTCCGGGCAGCGACAAGTATAACCGCCATTTATGTTAACACATTCAGCTCCTTCTCCGCACTTACTACCTGTATGGCATTCATCTACATCTACACATTTAATATGGGGGTCGCCCGAGAATCCAGAGGGACATAAACAACTGTAACTTCCTAAGGAGTTTGAGCAAGTGGCATTTATACCACAACTGCCAAAGGGTCCGTGGACAGAATCGCACTCGTCAATATCAAGACAACCAGCCGACACATCATTTGGATTAAAAGTCCAACCGTCTTCACAAATGCAGTAAGCCTCATTTGCATCAGCTTTGCAGTAGGCATGTTCGCCGCAATGTACATCTTGACAAGGTTCTTTGCATGTTACTCGTGGGGGTGTACCCACAAACCCAGCTTCACATTCGCAACGATATGAACCAGGAGTATTAATACATTGAGAATTATTACCGCAGAGGCCAATATGCGTGCGACATTCATCAATATCAACGCAACTAGATCCTAAAGGCTCGAAACCGTCCAGGCAAAAACATTGACTTTCTATGCATTCGGCATTGTTAGTACAATCAAAATTTGAACTGCAGTGTATACTAACGTCTATCTGCTCACATGCTGTCTTAGCATCCGGTTTGCCAGCAAAACCTTGCGGACACTTGCAATCGTACCCAGGTTCAGTATTTTCACATATGGCATATGAGCCGCACGGCTTTTCCAAAGCTACGCACTCATCTACGTCGGCACAACCGCGAAACGGATCACCAGTATATTCGGGCTTACAAGAACAAATAAAACTACCAATCGTATCTGTGCAAATAGTATTCTCTCCACAAGGATTGTCTTGACATTCGTTGATATCTGAGCATTGGACGAATAAAGTTAAGTGAGCCACAATCACACGTACGCAATTACGAGCACAACCATTCGATTAGGAGTTCATTGTTTTAATTGTAGATTCATTGCGTGGCAGAGTGAACAGTGTAAGGTTAAACAGATGTTAAAGGCGAACAGAAAACAATAATTAAAAATAATTTGTATAATTAACAATTGTTAGGAATAGCGTAAAGTAGGAACAGTTTAAACTAAAAATGCTCTAACTCAGAGAGAAAATCGAAGTAGTTAAAAACTTATTCAATAAAGAGTGCAGCACATATTAAAGATTTACTGTGCCAGACTATAAAAGTATTAAAATTTGCAAGCTTTTAAAATTACTTGAGTTCTAGAATGACATGATCGTAAAGAGATACATTTAAGAAATATTCTCGTGAGAGTATGAAAATCACACTAATTTAAGAGCAACCGCGTAGATAAGCTTAAGGTTTTGCAAGCGGAGCTTGCAATTTTTAATATCTTTTTTTTATGAAAGCAAGACAAAAGCGTGCGAACTAAATTTATAATACTAACTTTCACAATGCAAATAACCTTGTCCTTGAAAACCGCTTGGACATAAGCAACGATAGGAGCCGGGAAAATTTATACATTTTGCATTGGTGCCACACTTGGCAACATCGTTATCTAAATTGCATTCATCTACATCGATGCACGCAAATCCAGCATTTGTTTTAGTTATGTGCGTTATTCCAGCGGAATGATTGATGCTGTTGTTTCTATGATCAGTGCTGACATAATTATCCAGCATAAAGCCAGCCGGACAACGACATTCGAAACTACCGCCCATATTTACGCATTCGGCACCCACACCGCAAGGATTCTTAATGAGACATTCGTCAATATCTACGTAGTTAGGTATGTATGTGTATATCGCGATGTAAGGATAAGTGAGCGTTAGAAGATACCATTAATTTTGCGTATAATCAACGTATTCCCCAAATTTTTTGTGTTAATAATGTTTTCAGATGAGTTATTTGCCGTTGTATAATTAAGATGGGTGCGTATATGTGTTGAATGTTGTTGCAAACACAAAATAAGTGATATTTCAAGAGAAAACAACAACAACGACACGTTCGAATTTTGTTATCATTATTATTGTTGTTGTTGTTGTTGTTGTTTTTGTTGGTGCAATGAAAACGAAATGAAACACAAAACAATGCAAATACTTTAGCAAGTAAGCAAAATATAACATAATTTCGGTAACTTACCTTCGCAGTTGTGATTGGGATCACCGGAGTAACCATCGGGACATATACATTTAAAACTGCCCTCTGTGTTGGAGCATTGAGCGTTGCGGCCACATGGCGACCTCGCGCATTCATCAAAATCAACACAGCCAGCGAGTGAGCGTGCATCGCCTTCATAACCCGCAGGACAGTCGCAGCGATAACTGCCCTCCAGGTTAACGCAAATAGCGCCAGGGCCGCAGGTATCGGGATGCGTACACTCATCAACGTCATAGCAACCATCATAAGGACTACCATAAAATCCTTCTGGGCAAGTGCAAGTATAATTACCAGGCATGTTGATGCAGCCCGCGTTCACACCGCAAGCCTCTGGCTTAAGGCACTCATCAATATCTAACCGTATTATTAAAAAATTAAAAACAAGCAATGGTTAGTATTTTATTAAATAATAAATTACGTAATACTTTGTTATGTTGCTAAAAATGAAGAATTTAGTTTTGGTTGATATTTTTACCTGTACATAGAACTTCTCCATCGCCTTCGTAGCCATCTTTGCATTTGCACAGAAAGTGTGCCGGCAGATTACAACATTCGGCATTCTCAACACAACGTGCTGTTACCTGAGGATCTTTACATTCATCGATATCTACAAAAGTAAACGAAATAGAAATTTTTTTGTTTTTATATTTACAAAATTTTTTATTTAAATGCTTTCAGAATATTCTACATCGCTTGCGTTACAATGATATAATAAACAACGCCTAGGACGAGTTGAGGTAGACCCATACGTTTGATTGATAGACCGCAATTTTTAAGATATGTTAAGGGAATAGACATAAAAGCAACAGCTATGAAAAATAGTTTTGATCGAACCTTTGCGCGACTCCGCATATAAGCTGATATTGTATGAAAGGGTCGGCAATACCACCCCAAAGAAGTCAAATGAAATATAGGCTTATGTTGGCCGTAAATGGTAAATACTGAGTTCTGCTGTAAACTAACGTAGCAGGAGTCTATAACGTATAATCAAGTAATTAGGAAGCGCGGATATCGAATCGGCATAGCCATACTTTAATTACGATCAGCATATGAGCGTAGACATACTACTTAGCGATCAGGCTTATACATGCCAGGCCGCGGCCACTCGCTCTCTTCCTTTCCATATTACTTTCACGCCATTACCGTGTTACATGTATAACGGACAGAAAAAGAGAAAGAAATACAACCATACAATCGTTGCATATGATCTCAATAAGGGAACTCTAGCACGTCTCGTTTTATTGCAGATTTTCATTTCAAAACAATTACGTATAAACTATTTAGCATTTTAATACATAACTTTAACGCTTTGATGTCCACGTAAACATGCGTGCCGTTGTTATTATTATCTGACATTTCCACGCATGTGGTGGTCTTGACGGTTTCCTTACGGAATCCCTAGAGATAACATTCACATGCATCGAAATGTTTGGCTTCACGAATAATTCCCTCTTTGAATTGGAACTGCTCCTATTTCCAATATATCCAATAATGTTGAACGTGCTATGTGCATATTTAGCATGAAAATCTTGCATTAATTATCATTACATGATTTTAAGTCAAGATGATTATTACTTATATTATAGATATATAATCCATTCATCTTCATCTAGTTCTGATAGAATTTTAGAATTTTTTGAAAAGATAAAGCTAAAGTCAAATTCAATCAACAACAAAACTGTCGGTTTACAAAATTTTCATAATAAATCATTTATTAAAAATAGAGATTAAATGAGAAAAAGAAAAATATAAACTAAAAATTATCGTACGTAAGTAATATGTATACTAGATATTCTTAAACAGACAAAACACTAACAACACCCTAGTACAACGGCAATGGAGACGAGTTCTTATATACACGGATGGTTTGATATGCAATAAACTTAGAAGCCATAACTTAGCCAGATATTTATTAACAGGAAAATGTTCTTCACGGTGTGTATAAGAGGCAGAGCAATATAAGGTGCATGTGCTAACATCCTTTCAATCTCAATTATAGCTTATAATGGTAGGAATACTTTATTTAGAATCAACAACATACGTTTGAATTTCTCAAACAAACCAAATAAAAAGAAAAATATACTCATTTATTTAACAGCACACGTGCATGAATATGTCATTTTATGGTGAACGAATAATCATTAAGAAAATGTAATTGCATTTCTTGATTTTACTTTTTTTCATATTCCGTTTTATGTTCAGTTTCATTTTTACTTCGTTTTCTCTTTTCAACTCATTTAAATCTTGAATTTATCATAAGAAGTACGCGTGTTTGCGTTAGGGATCTTTTTTCCTTACATTCATATTTTGTCAAGTGTTCATTGTTGTTGTCGTCGTTGTTGTTATTACGGATGTAATGCCAACATTAATCATAATATGCAGCTTTAATGAATTTCTTAAAAATCAAAAAAAACCGAAGTCTTCTTTTTCTATATAGACCTTTTACTATATATGACCGTGTGCGTTGATGACCGCTTGCATATTTTTCTTTGTTCACATTGATTGATTTAAACAATTTATTAAATAAATCTTTAATGTTAATGTTAATCTCTTGATCTCTACGCACAGTTAATGAACTGTTGAAGATGTCACTTATTTGGCGGAAAATGCCAGATGAATGTAACAACAATTGAAAACAATTAACCAGCAAACGTTCAACAGCAAATGAAGCTTCCTAGAATTATATTGAAATTAATTAAAGAAATTCTGCACAAACCGAAACAAATGACACTTCGCGTCAATATCTATACAGCAAATGTAAATTTACGTCTCGATGCCAGTTCGCGTAGATGGCGTTAGATTACCTAATAGTAAAAAAGACGCAAAAATCTTGTCGCAAGCTAGTCTTAAAAATGGATTAAAGCGATTTTCGAAATCCTGGTAATCACAGGTTATTTCTGTACCTCAATCATAGTGACCGACTTTGCGCCTTAAGAGAAGTTATCGTTCTAAGAAAAGTTCACTCTCTTGAGATATTAGACAAGCAAATGCACGGGAATTTACGGACATTCTTGATCCGTTTGACATTCTGAGATGATTCTATTATTATTATTATTATTTTTTTTTAAATAACTTTTATAGAATTGCTTCAGGCAACTGTTTAATTTTTGCCATTGTATCTTTTAGAAGAAGCAAGTGCATGCAAAAAATACATAGATTTAAACATATAAATATTAGTTTGGGGAAAAAGAAATCCATTATTTTTATATGAACTTCAGGATTTTATATAACATGCTTCGGATTGTCCGATTTGGGTCAAATATGCACCGTTTTGTTGTATGATTTGTTGCCATTTTAAAGGTAACTTCACAATGCCTCTCTCATAGAAGCCCTGGTCTCTATTTGCAAAAAACTCTAGTAGTCGATTTTCACAATCCTCCCTAGATTCCAATTTTTTATCATTAAAGAAATTTTGCAATACAAGAAAAAGATGATAATCGCTTGGTGCCAAGTCCGGACTGTACGGCGGATGCATTAAAACTTCCCAACCAAGCTCCCGAAGTTTCCGGCGAGTCACTGTAGATGTGTGTGGCCTAGCGTTGTCCTGGTGGAATAGGACACCTCTCCTGTTGGCAAATTCTGGCCGTTTCTGGTCAATCGCTATCTTCAAACGGTCCAGTTGTTGACAGTAGAGATCAGAATTTAGCGTTTGGCCATATGGAAGCAACTCATAATAAATAATCCTCTTCCAGTCCCACCAAATGCATAGCAAAACCTTCCTGGCCGTTTGAGGTGCTTCACCGCTCTTTGACCACGATCGTTTTCGCGCAGGGTTATCGTATGTGATCCATTTCTCATCTCCAGTCACCATCCGTTTAAGAAATGGGTCTATTTCATTCCGTTTGGCCAAGGCTTCGCAGATGGAAATTCGATCCATCATGTTTTTTTCTGTCAATTGGTGTGGCACCCAAACATCGAGCTTCTTTTTGAATCCAGCTTTGTGTAAATGGTTTAAAACTGTTTTATGGTCGATTTTTAGCTCCTGGGCGATGTTACGACTGCTAACATGCCGGTCAACTTCGATAATTTCTCCGATTTTATCGACATTTTCGACGACCGGCCTAACTGTGCGAGGTGCATTTTTAACATCAAAAATTCCTGAACGGAATCTACGAAACCAAAATTGCACATAATTGGCTGTTACAGTATCGGAACCATAAACACCATTCACAATTTTAGCCGCCTGGTTTGCGTTTTCGCCTTTGTCACAGAAAAACTGTAAAATGTATCGAATTTTCTCTTTGTTCACTTCCATTTTTAACACGCTGTAACTCACAACTGAATGCACCAAACAAAAAACAGCAAAAGAATTTTTTTTACTGCGAAATGTACAGTATGTAAATGTACAGTATCGGAAATTATTTGATCGATACTTTACGAGAAATCTGTTAGTGCAGCCATCTACCGAAAAAATAATGGATTGCTTTTTCCCCAAACTAATATAAACCGAATGCACATGGTGTGCATGTAAGTATAATAGAGTATAGCTATGTGTAGACGTTTTACATCACACGTATGCATAAGTTTAAAGTTTTGGAAGCGTAACGGATTTATCAGCTGTACAAAATCTGCTATAATAAAACGGTGAAACGTTACTTTTGTTACTCTTTTCACGATCATCATATATAGCATAGCGGCATGTAATAAGTATCTGAAGCATGAGTATCGCATTAACATACACGAGTTGATTTAAGGTGGCCCGCGTAAAGTACGTGATGTTTGATTTATATGCAGGCAATTAAGAGAAGAAGATAAGTAATAAAAAAAGGCAAAAAAACAAAGGGAGAAACCTTGTTTTTTATTTATGTTTCAAATTGAAATTTACATTTACATTAAAATTTAAGCTCTATTTAACCTCTGCATACATTTATATAATAAATAAATAAATGTATGCAACTATGTGCGGTTAAAACTTTAGAATTTACATTAAACATTCTTAGAGTGACTAGAGAATATTGTCTGATTTTAAGTAAATCAACTTTTAAACCGTTATTATTATTGCTCTGCAGCACAAGTTAACGCTAAATCAAGTTGAAAACGTGACAATGATTTAAATATTCGTTTAAACAAACCCATAGAAAAGTTTAGTAAGTTTAAGAAGATAATGCGATTGCGCTTCTTTTCGTTGATAGTCTCAGCTATTAAATTAAATAGTTTATGTTTAAACGTGAATTTCTGCGATATCATCGATTTTTGCATAAAAGCCAATACCCACTTAACCTCATTTGACTATGAGTAAAAGCCTTATCTAGCCGTTGGCACAAAAATATTTGTATATATATAAGCATGAAATGAGTTTAATATTCAAGAGACAGACTGGTATTTACCAATTATTGTTAGGTAATAAGCTACCAACCACATATTCGGGAAGTAAATGTGCTCATCTACGCATACATATGATAAGTGATGGAAATTAGTCAAGCGATATGCTGACACAAATATATGAAAATTTTTGCTAAAAAAATCCTTTAAAATATTATATTAGCAAATAGTTTTTCTATGAAAGAGAATATCCTGTACTATCATGGTTATGCGAACGTGATTTTGGAAAATTGAAAAAGGCATTAATATATGGAATTAATATATCTCATATCCATTCTCAATTACAGAATACTGCAAGCCAGCAACCAAATATTTGCAAATTACAAAGGTACAAAGCTCACTGCATAAAGCATATATATTCTTGATCAGCATCATATTCTGAATCGATTTAAGCATGTTCGTCTATCCGTCCATGTGACGTCTGTCGTAAGCATTCTGCTGGCCGCAAAACTAAAGCTATGGACTTCACGTTGGCAAGAACGCTGGAAGTTCTTGCACGCAGTTTGATTATGAAAATGGACCTAATCGGTCGAAGGACGCGCCTACAATGCTAAGTAAAGTAAGAACACCTCTATTTCTCATTTGATATAAGAAATCAATTTTTTGTTTATTACTCATAAGCTACGACAAGTAAATCTACAAAAATTTGATCGTATGTTCTGTGGACGATGCTCTACTACCAGCAGGAATGGGAAAGATTGGACGCGCCTATCCAGTGTTAAAATGTATCAAAATCTCATTTTTTTTAAAAGTTTTTGAGATTTGCATTTCAATAGACAAGCATCCCTAAGTTGCTCCTATGATCTCGTATTGGGCTTCCAAACTGCACTAATTGCAAAGTAACGACAGGGAGATTAATGGATAAGAATTGAAGTTGAAGAACTTTGATATGGACTTGTAGTTTGGTGACGCTCAGACTGCTGGTCGTTACGGTTGCTTCATTTAAGCAGAGCATTATTTATTTTATGCCGATGTCCAAGATGTTCAAAATTTTTGTACGCATTGTTGTCACCCATCAACAGATTAGCTCTTCACTGTGAGTGGTCATGAATGTCTACAGGCAAGAGCAAGAAATTTCCCACTCTCAAATGCGATTTATAGCTCAACCTTGACAGTATATAGGCGATGTAAATGCATATCGGATAGTGTTCTTCTGGTCCTTTACATATATATGTTATGTCCAATATCATCATTTGATATTAGCGCCCAGAGTATCAGACCAGTTTTTTTACGTTGACATCAATAAAGAAAGGATAATAAAATAATGAGTCACAATATGCTGGTATTCGGATATATTCACAAACTTTCCCTTAAGTATATCGCT